CCACGCTAATCCGTATGTGCATCTGCTCTTACCACCAAGTATAGTTGTATTCTGTTCGTTTTTTTATCACCTCGAATAATAAGGCAACAGAATAACGTGCCCCACAAAGACAAATATAGTGGACAAAAAATACATAAACAACTATAGAGTCCTTGTAAAAAAAAAAAATGCTAATGAGACAGTTATACCTCACATTTTTGGCACAATTTTTATAATGTTGACACATAATTGTGCTAAAAACATGAGGGGACGGAAAGTCTACAGAAATTCTCTATTAGAGAGTTCTACTTTTAAAAGTCTCATTAGTATTTCTCAACAGAAAAAAAAAACTATAGAGTTCATGACACTAAAATTAAGTATAAACATAAATGAGCATGAAGTAGCGCTACCGTCAAACCTACTTCATTTAATTAAGAAGATAATATAGAACATACGGCGGAACTGAGAAAAACTCAGTCTCCAACGATCCAATTGTGAAAAATAATCAACAAAAGTCTTAATCCAACTATTGGTTTTGCCATCCCATTCCCAGATTGTTCGAGGTTTGTATGCTCGTATCCAAAAATCAGATCCCAAAAACAATGGCAACATATGGCAAAGAATTGCAAGGATACAACCCAATATATGAAGCATGAGAGGATCATCACTTAGAAATGGGACCTTAGAGTTCTCATATTCCCGATCTTTATACATTGTTATGTACAAAAAGAATTCGCTAAATACATGAAAAAATATATTTCTATGTCAAACATCATTAAAAATTAATGTCAAAAGAAGAAAGATATACAAACATTATTGAAATATTATACATCTCACGTTTTTAGACACAAATGTACTAATTAAGTATACATAATCTAATCAACCAATTCTTTTTCAATTGATAAAATAGCTAAGTCATTCAATATTTCTTGTGATATAGTTGATTGGAGATAAGATTTGATCAACTTATTTTGAAAAACTTCTTTATACGGAGGCAATAATAACTGATATGATTAACAAAATTCTATAAGCAAATACTCAAAGGTTCAAAGTCTGTATACTTCTTATTTGATTTGACAAAGTTTGTAATATATATATATATATATATATATAATTTGGGGGCCCTAGGTAGCCCCGCCTACTCCTGCTAGCCTCAGAGTCGGCCCTAGACTTATCAGCCATGTATGCTTATTGTTCACTTGCTTGCGCATGCATTTTCTTCTTCCTCCCATCTATGCTGGCATTTTTTCATAACGACTAGGGCCAGTTCAGAGATTTTTGAGGCCTGCGACGATGCCAAAAAATGTGCCCTCACTTCATATAAAAAAATTATTTGTTTTCACACGTAAGACATCGATATAATTATATTTAGAAAAAACTTTCAAAACTCAATAATTTAGAAACACGGAAAAACTAATTTATTTTGTGTCGAGAGAAGAAACAAAAAACCTTCAGGCTTACATGACACACCCTAACCCGAAGACTAGGACGTGCTGGCCGTCACGTAAGTGTGACGTAACCATAACGCAAGCGGAAACGATTTAATAATAAAATACGAGTCAACGAAAACCACTAATTTCAGTTATTTACAACCTAACATTCTATGTGCATAAGAGTGTACTAAACACACATAAACAGAGCATAAGCATCTAGGTGCAGTCAAGTAGGAACATAACTATTTTACAACACCCTCGGGTGAATCCTACATTTATTTAGTCTGTCAGAACGCCGAAGCAGTCCTCGTAGGCCACCAACGCCTCAACTATCAACTAGAACCTGGAGGGGCGAAAAACAGAAAACGTGAGTGGGCGAAAATCAAGCTTTTCCAAATCATTTCATAAATCCACATTTATAACCCCTTTTTGGAAAACCTGTATACTTTCCCAGAAAAATAGTATATAGCATATATATCTCAACTGTCTCAATCATCAATCTTATAACAGATTCAATAAAGAATGTACCATGCCAATTTCAACAGTGTAGTATGAATGCATTAACATAATATAATCAGGTAAAAGAAATAATCAATCGGAGGCCCTCTAATAGCCCTGAACGATTGAACCTAGAGCTCAACATCTATCAATCTCACTCTGCCGGAGTCACTCCGCGTGACCTGTCCGGCCTTCTGCACATAAGTCGGAACCACCTAATGTAGTCTGAACGACTCATGGTAATATTCGCTCTAGTGCTTCTCTCATCAATCATCTGTATACAATAACCTAAGGTCACCCACCAGTCATAATCTCACTAACACTCTACGACTGGCCCGTCGTACCCACTCCGCGTGGACTGTACGACCAGCATCTACTTGGATCCAAGGCGAGCGTGCGATGCGGTGAATACTATAAGCACTAAACCATGGTGCAGGATATGAGCTCAATATATCATCATCATCATCATAATATTAATTAAATACTTACCTGTGCTTCCACAGCACCATCATACATATATGCATCATACGACAGTTCATAATATCCATAATATTCTATGCATGGCAATCACATCATATTTCATTTCATTTCAATATACTTTTCATTTAAATTTGATTTCTGGGGAAATCGAGTATATAGGTATATATAAAAACAAATGCCCACTCACTGGTATGTCGCCGGGTCGTAACCCCCTTGACGCCCCTGGATGTGCTCGTCCTCGTTAAAAGTTCCACCTAGAAGTGAAATAACTTAAAACAATCATTTAACGCATATTTAACGCACCTAAACCAAACTAGGTAATTAATTCTTCATACGATGCTCAAATTGGGTATATGAATATACCAAAGTGACCTACACAACCTCAGGATCATCCCCATATTTTAAAATAATTTTTGGAGTCCTCACGCGCCCCCACGCGCCTGACGTGGCACGGACCTACGCGCGGCCCACGCGCGGCCACGTGACATGCACACTGACGGCTACAGTGAACGGCGTTAGAGAATATTCCGTCAAACCTAGTATATTCCGTTAAAAACTAACGGTTTCCGTTAAAGTTAACTAACGGCGTTGGCATATTCCGTCAAACTTGACGGAAGATTCCCTGTCTTCTCCGGCGAGTCGCCGGTCGCCGGCGACTGTTCGCCGGTTTCTGGAAAAATTTCAAATCCACTATTCTCCTTCGTTTTTCAACCAATTTCTTCGCATTTTATACCAAAATGAAGCATTTAACATGTACTATCACGTTGGAAGGGTTTTAAGGCCTAAAACAACTAGATCATACCTTCCAAAATTCCTCAATTTCGGCCAAACTCGAACCCGACGATCCCGACGTCCATTTTGTTCAAACGAGGCACTCCGAGCCTCCTTAGGACTTCCTAAGACTCGTGGTGATCTTGCTTTAGCCTAAAACACAACGAAATTTAAGTTCATGAACAGTAGCAATTTCGGAGCTTAAGTTTTCTACATGGAATCGTGGGAAATCTTACCTGAAAATAATATCAATGTGTTCGTATGGTCCTTACGAACACGATGCTACCTTCCTCAACCTTAACTTGTGAAGTTTTCAAGGTCTTGGGTGTTTGTCCGAGAGTTTGAGAGAGAATGAGAGTAAGAGAGAGGGAATGAGTGTTTCTGAAATGAAGAAAGAGAGAGAGAGTGACTAGGGAGATGAGAGAGACAACAAAAACGGGTTTTGGGGAGGGATTTAGGGGGTAGGACCCCACCCTAAGTCCAAACACAAATTAAATTAACACATACTAATATAATTCTAACCCTAGTTTAGGATCTTAGTGTAAAACAAATACCAAATTTACGCACCTTAATCCCGTTTAAGGGCGTTTCTGTAATTTCACGTCCTCGGTATTAAAATTCCGGGACGGGCTGTGACATTACAAGTAGATAGATTATGAGTTTTATTTTCCATCTGAACTTTTAAAGTGTTTTTGTATAAATCGTGATGTGTTTTTGTATAGATTATGAGTTTTGTTTTCAATTTTTGCAAATTTGGTCTAAAAATTTAGTCTACGCATTACTCTTTGTTTAATATTAGACTTGAATTGTAACGAATGTTTAAAAATAGCAACCCATATAGATACTAGCTAGTAATTAAAAATAAATTAACAACCAAACAAAAATTCGTAAAAATTGAAAAAAATAAACATGCACATAGCATTTCAAACTTAGGACATCTTGTTAATTTTAAAAACAAAAATCATTGCTTCTAATTAAACTTCTTGATCATTTAACCAAATTTTATAAATTTACATTTAACCAAATTTTATAAATTTACACTGTTATGAAAAGAAATTTATAAAAATTGGAATGTCTTCTAATTAAACTTCTTGATCATTTTACCAAATTTTATAAATTTACACTATTATGAAAAGAAATTTGTAAAAATTGGAATGTAAACAAGCAACATGGTGTTTTGAACCCAAGATCTCCTTATTAATTTCAAACAACAAAACCACAAATTCTAGTTAAATTACTTTGTCACTAAACCAAATTTTATAAATTTATACTCTTATAAAAACATATATAAATATACCACTCATATAATTTTGGTGCTCCCAATTTTTTTGGACCCTAAACGATCACCCTACCCGCACTAGGCCTGGGCCGGGCCTTGCTTTGTCCAATGGGTTTGATTGCAGCAAGTTGCATTCCATGAGCTACAAACTCGAGAAACAGATATCAAATCCAGAAAATTTAAAGCGATGAATATTCGCACAAGGATAGTGTAGTCCATATTTGCACAGTTTCGAACTTTGCGTCTCTGCCGTTTTATAAGAGATTTCCTGAATAATGACAACTTGTACATCCAAGCTCGTGGCTCGAATTATGATCAACATAAAGGAGGTGGATTGTCTGCCCTCCCATTTACATACTCTTTCCATCATTTTCTGTTTGTGTGATCATGGTTAAGCCACGTCAACATTTTATATTCCTAAAAATTAATATAAAATGTTGACGTAACTTAACCGTGATCACATATCATATGAGGATATAAGGAGAGTATGGAAATGAGAGGGCAGACAATCCACCTCCCAACATAAATACACCTAAGAGCTCATAGAGTGTATCTTGGTGCCCTTTTGTTCTGTAATTTCAAGTCCAAAGATACCTTCAATAGGAACTTGTCTCATTTTCAGCATTTTGAAGCACTAGTTGGTAATACTTAATGGGCCGGGCTCGTTAGAACGAGTGGCAGTTTTGAAATATCACGACCATCTCTCAGTGTCTCCGTCGTCTTCTGATTTTCCTCCTAATCGGAGAAGAAGGGCTACCAAATCCCCCTTTTCCGTCGTCGTTTTCTAAGGCATCGAAACCTTGGTCCTTCGAATTCGTGGTTTTCTGATTCTTCCCGGCGCTCCTCACGTGTATGGCAGCCCGAGCGCGCGGCGCTCTCGATTGGTTCCATGGTCTGATCTTCCGCGAATCGCAATCCGACTGTGGCGATTACGTCGGCACAAAACCAATCGGCGAACGTGGATCTCTTCGATGCGTATTTCCGACGAGCTGGTTTGGACGGCGATGATCGGATTAGTGGCAATGAAGCCGTCGCTTTCTTCCAGGGCTCCGGTCTCCCCAAACAGGTCCTTGCGCAGGTACTCTCACTCTCTATATATGTATATGCTTGTGCATATATATTTATATATGTAGTGTGTATGATTATATTTGTGTAATTATAGTGGTTGATCGGGATTTTATGTTGGTGGAAATGTGTTCCAAATCAGATTGATTTTGAATTTTTAATCTAATTGTAGTTGAAGTGGTTAATGTGGAGCTCGGGATGTTGTAATTCTCTGATTTAAACTGAGATTTTTATTTCGTGTTAGTACAAATGCGGAATTGATGTTCGAATGGTAGAAAATAAGTAGATGAAGGATTTATACAACAGTTATGTTATCCGGTCATTAATTTACTTTCTGGTGTATCCTTTCGACCTTAGGTGGTAAGCAGACTTTAGAAATGTGTTATATGACTACGGAATAGTTAGGATTGTAACATACAAGGGAAATGTTCTTGGGTCATGATCATATCGATAAATAGGTTCTTGAAGTTGTATATTTGTTTTGCAGAAGAAATTTTCTCATAAAATGATAACCGGGGGCATAATATGTTAAATATTGACTATATGAGTGCACTTTCTCATTATCTTTTTGTAACAGAAGTTTGGATCTGTTCTAATTTATATTAGTTGCTTATATTTATTGGCAGATATGGGCACGTGCAGACCAGAGGCGGACTGGTTCCTTGGTCGGGCAGAGTTTTACAATGCCCTTAGAATTGTCACTGTGGCACAAAGTAAGAGAGAACTTACGCCAGAAATGGTGAAGGCAGCCTTATATGGCTTGGCTGCGGCTAAAATACCTGCACCTAAGATATATCTTGCAGCGACTCCTGCGCCTTAGTTCAGTTCTGCTGCTGCTGCTGCAGCAGCACTTGACTTTCAAGGTGGTGCTGTCACTCTGACATCCTTGCGAAATCTTGGGTTCAGGGGACTGCAAGTACCACCTCAGTATAATTCTGCTGGAGCAGCAAATGCCGCTCAGGGTGGTGCTGTCACTTCGACGTCCTGCCCAAACTTGGGTTTAGGGGACCACAAATACAATCTCAGTTTAATTCTGCTCCAACAGCTACTCAGAGTGGTTTAGGGAGGGACGCCCTCTTCCAGCAGTGCTACCAATCAATGTTATGTTTGATGTATCCAATATTTTTCAACTTGCAAATAATTTCTCCAATGCTGGCAATGTAGCCCGGAGACCTGCATCTGGTATTCATCCATAAATCAAATCACTTTTTATTTTTTGAAACCATGTCTTTCTATGATGGAGAATAGTTTCTTATTTTTCACTTTAAAAGGCTTTCAAGGCAGCCGATGCCAATTGCTCCTTCTCATGATGAGGAAATGCGGCAACTGAGTACAGAGGAGGTTAACTCACTGAACTCAAAGTTCAAAGAAGCAACCGAAGCTAATAAAAAGGTACTTGGAAATTTTGTATTTCATTTCTTTGTGTATGCATCTCGCTTTTTCTTCATTTTTTTTTCTTTTAGCTTGTTACACAACGTATAATTTTTCCCCTTAACTTTTGAATGGTCCTAGTCCTATTGAAGCAAAGACCCCTATAGTTTTCTCGTTGTTACAAATTTGATGATTGTATTATTAAACTGGGGCTGTGCCTTTTGTTTTTCGGCCTTAATTTGCTGTAATTTTTAACCTGCTCTAATAAAATTTGTTTTGCTGATCTTTGTATGGTTCAAACAAGAACACTGAGTTTAGCCGGTGTTAGTCCAAACGGGCCATTCATATTTTTCGCCCATTCCAGTTCAGCCATCGAACTATCGTGTATTTTTGTAGTGTCGAATGTTCAAACTATGGCGCTTGGTTGTGAGACTATGGCGCTTGGTTGTGAGATTTTTACTTTGCCCTGGGCATGGGGTATTAATTCATGTCTAGGTTTATGATATAGAGGCGGATTTCAAGATGCCGCTGGACTTGTAAATCAAGTGTTAAAAATAACATGTAGGATATGACATACTTGTCCATAACTTGTACTTTATAATGTATAAACAATACTAAAATAATAAAAGCCTTGCCTATTTGTCAGTCTTATTTCTTGGACGGACAAGTGAGCTATCAAAGTACAAAGAATTGCAGTTTGAATGGGCATGCAAGAACCCAACTTAATCAAAGGAATTTTTTTCACGAATTCGTTCGCTTTTTTCGGACTTGCAGGGCTTGCCTCTGAATCAAAAGAAAAAGTGGTAAACTATGTTAATGTGAAGAGTATCAAAGATGTAAATACGCATCATATACACTATATGCACACCACATGCACATAATATGTACAGTACATGCACTGGATATGCACAAAACGGGAGAAACTTTAACGGCAATAGATTGGTGTAGTGGATACAATTAAAACATAATTGTTACGTATATAAGGTTACAGTGACAGCTTGAAAAGTCTTGTTACGTATATCAACCACCGTTTAACCGTGCACGTGGAAAACATGATACTCGTTGTCGTTATTTCATGGACACACATGACCCTTAACATCCTCTAAACTTTTTCTTAATTTTGTTTTACGCCGAGACCAACTAGGTGGTGGTCATACTCACTAAATTCCGGGGGCACAACATACGTGCATCATAACTAGTGAACATTTCCGCTTCTTATATGAAGATGTATCCATGCACACCGCATGCACATTACGGAAAAATTTTCACAAATTTCTACAATTGAACACTTGAACGATAAATTGTTCCATCCCAGTTTTGTAGCACGTCAAAACTTGAAATTTATTCTACAACCCATATGCCCTAACATGAAATATAAACCACAATTTAACTTCTAAGTATTAGTTCATCCTACAAACAACCCATTTATCCCATACCTTACTATGCTTGCCGAAGTTTTAGTCATCGAGAAAAATGGAACTTTCCGGCCACAACTGAAAATATGATACAAAACCTAGCACACTTTTCTCACCTCTCTCTTGCATCCCTTTGTTTGAAATCAGAGGTATAAGGTCAACCCAAAACCTAGCTCACTCTTCTCGCCTCTCTTTGGACTTCCCTCTTTTCGAAATCGGAGCGCATGATCTAAGCTCAATCCAGAAATCCAGAGCTCACAGAGCTCTCTCGACATCCATCTCTTCCAAATGAGAACAACGATGCAATGGGCTGATGATTTTTAGTATTTACATGTGGGTATTTAGTAATTTCTGTTTTGTGCATGACTTGTTCATGACCGGTTTGTCCTATTTGTGTCCCAATATTAAGAAATTGTCTCATTTTGGGGTATTTTCCTTTCTTTTTTTATACTTACAAGCTACAAGTCCATTGTTAGTGTATTGACATAAACAGAGATAGATTGATGGAGCGTATCATTTCTCTCTTGCAAATGTGTTGTAGATCATTAAAATTATGAGGTGCATCAATGTATGAGACACATTGTTGAATTTAACAATTGTATATAGATGTGCGCCAAAGAATTTAAGAGATGAGTCCTATGCATTGTTAATTGTGTCCCTTCTCTTTTTGATAATAATATATGTATAAAATTTTCTCTTGCCAGAATATGACCATTGAAATTGATTATTGCATATTCACTAAGTTGAATATTGGCTAATTTGGAAAAATTATGAGATACATCAATGTATGACATACATTGTTGAATATAAATTTGCGTTGAAAATTTTGAAAGATTTTAAGGTGTGTATGTAATCCGCTTTAAAAAATAAAATATACTTTGCTTTGTTGTGTAGAGTGGAAGGAGTCGGCTGACTCTGTCCTCCACTAGCACCAGGAAACTTCCACGCATGAGGAGGAGCTGCATCCATTCATTCATTCTTAATTTCACCTTTCTTTCTTTAAGTCCTCAACTAGATATCATATATTATAACATTTTCTTCCGTCTGAACGCACATGGTTTCTGCAAGGAAAGTGCTTGAGCAATCTCGTCTTTATATTTTTTATGTTTTTTTTTTGGTCTAATCTTTAGTGATTTTTCTGGATCGTGGTTTGTGAGTATATTTTATTGAAAGATACCTTATAAAAATTGCTGTGGACAAATTTTTCTTTTAATTAGGAATATTTAAAAGAAAATTTTAAAGAGTAGCATTATTAATTATCAAATATTTTTTAAGTATGTGAAAGTGACTAATCCTTGTTTCTCCAAATTTTCAATTTTTGTCCTCCCTGGACGTTTGAAACTTTGTGCATATACCTCCCACTAATAAGGACTAAACTCTGATCTAGTCTTAGGTGCAATTGTAGTTAAGATTCTCCTTCTGCTACCTGATCTAAGACAGAGAGATGGAGTTGATTGGGTTCATTCAAGTTTTTAACATCATCATCATCGCGATCGTAATTAGAGATAGGCAACGGTTATGACGGACGGGTAAGCTAGGTTATTTACCTATAACCATTTATGTTCATACCCGTATAATCGTTTACCCATTAGGTAATTGCATAAACAGTTATATCTATACTCATAATTGTTTATAAATGATTAACCATATCCATAACCGCGGTTACCCAAATTCATGGTATTTTGCCAATCCCTATGAATTGGACTCTGTGGTACATGTGCTGCTGATCATTAACATTTTCTTCTTCGTCTTCTGCGGCTTATTCTGCTGGTTTCTAATTGGTTGGTTTGGGTGGCAAGCTGGTAAATTTTGATCAGCTGATAGATACAAACCGCATGACTAACTATTTACAAGCACCTCACGTGGAAGTCTCATGCTAAACCTATACTTTCCTATATACATATATTTATAAGAAACGCAAAAAATCTTTTTAATAATGATAGTAAATACATTTTAAAGTACGTGTCATCACCGCTATATTGGTATTAAAATTATTCTCGTATAAATAACATGATTAGCCACCTCCACACAAATTTTTCTCGCTTGCTTTCACGCTGAGCTTTGGGCTCTCTTATGACCTTCTAATAGCCTTCGAAAAATAGATTCCAAATCTTAAGCAATCTCCAATAGTGAAGGACATGATTTTGTAGTGTGAAACTGACTTGTTTTAATTTTTTAGGAATTATAAAAAGGTACTTGATTGAAAGTAGTCGGAAATTTCTTGAAAGAAATTGGTCACTAACTAGAAATGTTAAAAAATTTGTACATAAAACGTGTAAATACGTCAATTAATGAGAAATAGCTTGCTTTAAAATAGTGTATGTGATCCGCTTTAAAAAAAAAGAAAACTAACGAAAAGTCTTCATAAACTTTTAGTTTTAATGAAAAATAACAAATAAATGTGTAAGTGAATAGTAACAAGAAAGGTAAAATGTCATTTTTCATTAAAAGTGAACAATACCAAAAGTGTTTCGTTAAAACTCATTTAAAAAAATCATGTATACAGTATACTTTTCATCGTTGGATAGAGATAGAGTGGAAGGAACCGGCTGACTCTGTCCTCCCCTAGCACTGGGAAACTTCCTCGCTTCAGGAGGAGCTGCATTCATTCTTAATTTCACCTTTCTTTCTTTAAGTCCTCAACTAGAGATATATTAACATTTTCTTCCATTTTGAACGCACATGGTTTGTGCAAGGAAAGTGCTTGAACAATTTCGTCTTTATATTTTTTATGTTTTTTTTTTTTGTCTAATCTCTAGTTATTTTTTCTCGGTCGTCTTTTGTGCGTATATTTTATTAAAAGATGCCTTACCAAATGTATTTGGACCAATTTTTCTTTTAATTAAAGCATATTTAAAAGAAAATTTTAAAGTAGTAGCATTATTAACTATCAAATATTTTTTAAGTATGTGAAAGTGACTAATCCTTGCCTCCCCAAATTTTCAACTTTTGTCCTCCCTGGACGTTTGAAACTTTTTGTGCATATACCCACCCCTAAGACCATCTTCAACATTTGGGTTAAAATCTAAAATTTTTAGTTCAGAAAATTTACCTTTTAACCTAAAAACAACTTTTTTGCTCTAACTCTTCTAGGTTAAAATTTTAGCTCCATATTATTAAAGAATGAATTTAAGCTAATTGTTTCTTGAAGTAACTTTTTGAAAAGAAAAAATTATGTAGAGTATCCTAATTTAACTTTATGAACATTTTAACCTAAAAATATTTAGATTCCGACAAATATTGAAAAATCACTAACCGACACCATGAAACTTGTGAAATAGTATGAAAAAAAATATGAAACACATAAAAGAATTTCTTTTTAATTTACGTTAGCCTTTGGATTTTATCAAATTAGATCTTAACCGTTGAATTCAATGAATTTATAAATATAAACTAAAAAATATATACATATATGGTGGACCAGCCCCACTAATCATGAGGAAATCCTGGGTTAAATTTGGCACTGAAATAAGTTTTGAGTTTTAACTTATATTCGCCCCAAGGGTTGGAGCAAGTTAAGGTAAGTTTAGAACCTAAAATTTAAGTTTTATTTAGAAAGTTAGAGTAGGTCTAATAAGGACCAATGAAGAAAATATCGGTAATATCGGAAATATCGGTAGTCCGAAAACACGGAAATATCGATGGAAATATCGGGATAATATCGATATCGATAAAAATTACATGGAAACCACGGAAATTGTAAGAAAAACTTGGAAATTTTTATTGAAACTTTGCAGGATGTTTATTTAGTCAATTATCTATTAGTTTATCACAAAAAATTGGAAGGAAATGCATTGTATGATGAATTTAATTGATTTAAGTTGATAATATAGCGAGCTGGCAAACATTGTGAATGTAGAAAATATGTAGTAATTAATGAAAAAAATTTAAACACACCAAAATCATTTATATATAATGAAATTAACAAATGTGGAACAAACAATTTGAAAAATAAGAGAAAAACTGACAATAATATATACATGTGCAATATGGAAACTTTCACACGGCATTTCTAGCCACATGTCAGATCTCACAATTTCCTCATATTTAATTATCTTTTAGAAACGTAGAGGGATTCGTGCAGGGCTCTCTCGATCCTTCTCCCACAGTCTCCTTGTTTCTTCTTCTGCCCCCCATCTCTTCTCTGCAACACACGCAGACCGCACACACCACACACGCACACACCACACACCACACACGCACACACCACACACCACACACGCAGTCTCTCCTTCTCTCCCTTAGTCTCTCCGTCGTCCGTCCATCCTTCTCCCTCAGCCTCGATCTCGATCCTTCTCTCCCTCAGTCTCTCCGTTGTCCGTCCATCCTTCTCCCTCAGCCTCGATGTCGATCCTTCTCTCCCTCAGTCTCTCCGTCCGTCCATCCTTCTCCCTCAGCCTCGATCTCGATCCTTCTCCCTCAGTCTCTCCGTCCATCCTTCTCCCTCAGTCTCTCCATCCTTCTTCTTCTCCCTCAGTCTCTCGATCCTTCTCCGGTTCTCCCCCCCCATCAAATCCGAGTGGGTTTTGGGATCTGGAGAAAGGGATTGCTCATTTTCAAGGTCTGAGCGTGGATTGTAGAGAGAGGATTGCTCATTTTCAGGGTCTGAGCGTGGATTGCTCATTTGTGGCTGCCGTTGCGACGACGACGGAGGATCCTCGGCGATATTATGGTTAATATCGCGATAATATCGCTAATATCGCGATATTATCGATATTAGCGATATTATCGCGATATTATTACGATAATTAACTGTAAACGTTGAAAATATCGCTATGTGAAAATAACGATATTATCGACGATATATCGATATTTAATTCCATGATAAGGACTAAAATCTAGTCTAAGAGAGAGCGTTGGAGTTGGTTGGGTTCGTTTAAGTTTTCAACATTGTCGTCATCGCCATCGGAACCCTGGTGTACATGTGCTGGGATCATTAACATTTTCTTCCTTGTCTTCTGCGGCTGATACTGCTGGTTTCTAATTGGTTGGTTTTGGTGGCAAGCTGGTACATTTTGATCAGCTGATAGATACAAAAAATCTTTTTAATAATCATAGTAAATACATTTTCAAAGTACTTGTCATCACCGCTACGTTGGTATAGAAGTTACTCTCGTATAAACGATATGATTAGTCATTTCCACACAAGTTTTTCATTTTCACACAAGTTTTTCTTGATTACTTTCAGGCTAAGTTGTGGGCTCTCTTACGACGTCCTGACAGTGTCAGAAAGCTAAATTCCAAATCTTAAACAATCTTAAATAGTGAAGGACATGATTTTGTTGTATGAAACTTACTTGTTTTTATTTTGGGTAAATTACAATTTACCCTCTCATGTTTGAGATTGATTTCAATTTCTTACAACATCTTTAAAACATTTCAATTTTATACATTAACTTATCATTTTATTTTAATTTCATACATCTGTTAGACAATCTGTTAAATAAATCGTTAAGTGATGACGTGGTAAATATGAGATCCATATTTATACTGACGTGACTGTTACATTTACGCATGTAGCAAAAAAAAAATATTTTTTTCATTTCAAATATAAAACACACACACACAATCAACCCCAGAAAACTCATCACCCGACCCACTCTACCTCCTCCAATCTCTTCACCTTCCCTCCCATCCATGATCCATCCCACCCCATCCCAGAGGCTACGGCAAAGTCAACCCAGAAACCCTTGAAAACCCAAAACCCCAAAAGCCCATCTCCTCCGCCGTCGCCACCCTCGCGATCGCCACCCTCATCCACGTGTCCATCATCGAGCACCCGACGAGTCCCAACCCCAATCCCTCTCCAACTCAGTCGGTCAACCATCAAAACCGTCTGCAACGCGACGCGCAGAAGGAACGAGATCTGATCGTAATTAATTCTGAATTCTGAATTCTGAACTACTCTCTCTCTCTCTCTCACTCACTCTCTCACTTTATTGGATCCTCCTTAATTCTGAACCAGTCTCTCTCTCTCTATCTCTCTTTCCTTCTAATTCATAATTAATCTCTCTGCAGCAACTACTTACTGGATCTGAAAACTAGAGGTTGTGGATATGGCTTCTTCTTCTTCTTGTTTTTCATCCGTAGCTGCTCTTGCTGATGCTGATGATACAAGAAAGTAAATGTTTTGGATATTATTTTGAAGGTGGAGAAAACAAACAAGCCCTTGTCAGAGGTTAGTCAGTGTTTATCGATTGATACTGTTTAAGGCTATTTTCTGTATTTTCTGTCATTTCTTTTTAATTAATAAGTTTAGGTGTTATGTTATGCTGGCATTTAATTTGCTAATTAATTTTTGTTATGACTGCTGTTAATTTCTTCGCCGGTGACCTGTCACCGGATGTCACTTTGTTTTGTTTGCATCTTTATCAGTTGTCTTCGTTTACATGCTGAGATGACGTTGTTCATATTAAGATTGCAAATATATGAATATCTTTCTTTAAAGTATAGTTTTTTAAAGCAAATATGCGCCTATCATGTGCCCCATTTTCTACTTTTGTTCATCTCTCACTCTTTGAAACTTTGTGCATGTACTCAAAAGCCAATTCTAAGTAAATTCTCCTTAATTCCTGCAACGTCATAATATTATTTCTCTTTAATTAACAGTTAATCTCTCTGCAACTACATCTTTTTGCTGGATCTGAAAACTAGAGGTTATGGATATCGCTTCTTCTTCTTCATCCGCTGCTGCTCCTGCTGATGCTGATGATGCAAAAAAGTACGATGTGTTTATTAGTTTCAGAGGTGAGGACACCCGCCGTACTTTCACCAGCCACCTCCACGCTGCCTTACTTGAGAAAAAAATCACAACTTATATTGATGACAAGCTTAAGAGAGGAGATGAAATCGCACCCGCCCTTCTCGAAGCAATCGAGGAATCAGAGCTTTCAGTGATCATTTTCTCGAAAGGCTACGCTTCTTCCAAGTGGTGTTTGGATGAGCTTGTGCATATCCTAGAATGCAAGGAAAAACATGGCCAGTTGGTTATACCTATTTTTTACGACACCCTTCCATCGGATGTACGAAAACAACGGGGGAGTTATGAGGTTGCATTTGCTCAACTTGAACAACGTTTCCAGAACAGTATCGACAAGGTGCACAAGTGGAGGGATGCTTTGACGAATGCAGCAAATATATCTGGCTTTGATTCAAAAAATTATGGGTAACTAACCAATTCTTTTAACTTGTATAAAATTATAAATTTTCTTTAAACTTGTGATGATTTTATTGTGCTAAGATTTTGTAAGGTACAAATATTTAAGACTAACTATTACTTTCCTACATTTATATGCCAGGACGGATGCTGATTTAGTTAAGAAAGTTGTTGAAGATATTTGGACCAAATTGTGTCGCGCATCATCCTGCGATTTAAAGGGCTTTGTTGGACTTGAAAGCCGCATCGAGCAGGTCGAATCGCTGTTAGGCTTTCATTCATCGGACGCTTGCATCACAGTAGGTATTTGGGGAATGGGTGGTATTGGCAAGACCACCCTTGCCGAAACTTTATTTCACAGACTCTCTTCTAAATTCGAAGCCTCCTGTTTTCTTAGAAATGTTAGGGAGAGAGAACAAAAGGATGGGCTAGAAAAGTTGCAAAATACACTTCTCAGTGAATTATTAAAGGAAGAAAGTTTATCCATAGGAACAACTTATGTTCGAGAAAGGCTTAGCCGTACAAAGGTCCTCATTGTTCTTGATGATGTGAGTGATTCAATGCAATTGGAACGTTTAGCTGGCGATCGTCTTCAGTATGGCACTGGAAGTAGAATCATTATCACAACTAGAGATAGGGGCACACTTGGGAAAACTGTTGAAGAGGATAATATCTACGAGGTTGAGGTATTAAAATCGGATGACGCTCTTCGGCTATTCTATTCGCGTGCTTTCAAGGATAACAGTACTCGTAGAACAGATTATAAGGAGTTGGCAAAAAAGGCGGTGGCTTATGCCAAAGGCGTTCCCTTAGCTCTTACAGTTCTGGGGTCCTTGTTCTTCAATTGCAAGAGCAAAGAAGAATGGGAAGATGAATTCAACAAATTGAAACGATTTCCCAGTGAAGATATTCAGAAAGTGTTGAGAATAAGTTATGATAGATTGAGAGAAAATGAGAGGGAGATATTTCTGGATATAGCATGTTTTCATAAAGGGAGCTCTGTGGTTGAGGTAAAACGAATGTTAGATGTTCGTGGATTCTTTGCGACATCGGGAATTAGAATTCTCATTGGGATGTCTCTCATATCAATTGATTCAGAAGGGGGAATGGAAACCATAGAGATGCACGATTTGCTACAAGAAATGGGAAGGAAATTTGTTCAAGAACAAGGTATTAAAGATCCTGGTAAACGGAGTAGGTTGTTCAATGATGAAGATGTCTTTCGTGTATTGAGGAGTAACACGGTAAGAGCCAAATGCATTCAATATTTTTTTTTTTTAAGAAAAAAAAAATTACAAACTTGAGATGATAACAGAACAAAGTAAAACTAATTTATAATAAAGAAGTGAGATTGTTAAAAGATGAATTTGATTGAATATTTATTGTGTTAGGAAGTGTTTGGAATATGAACAAATGTTTGTTTATTTAGACAAGTAGAGGAGGATACAATTATGTTGGATATTTGACTAGACTAAGACACTTGTACATGATTACCATCGCAAATGCTCTTTGTTCCAAATGTGCGTTACATTTTAATATGTTTATATTCACATTTAAACTTTCTTCTTATTCTCAGGAAACTCCAAATGTTGAAGCCATGCAGGTTTATTGGTATGATCTTCAAGAGCGACCATTGAAACGTGCAGACTTCAAAAAGATGTCTAACCTAATAATGCTAATTGTGGATGGTGGCTACACATTCACCAATTCTCTAGACCTTCCCGATTCTCTTCGTTATCTTAAATGGTGGGGATATCCACTGGAATCTTTGCCGTCAAATTTTTGTCCGGAAAATCTAGTTGAGCTTCATATATCCAATAGCAAAGTTAAGAAGCTTTGGAAAGAAGAGCAGGTATATTATATTATATTATATGCCTATTTTAATTCTTGTTTAAAATCAAGTGTAGAAATTATATTAATTCTTTATATTTCTATTTAATTTGTTGCAGATACTTGTCAACTTGCAAGTTATCGATCTGTCGGGCTCTAAGTATCTAACTGAAGTTCCAAATCTCTCTGGGAGTCTAAAAATTGTGGAGATAAATCTCTGGGGCTGTATAAGTTTGGTTGAAATTCCTTTGTATTTTCAACATCTTGACAAGCTTACTCATCTTAATCTTAGAGGCTGCAGCAGTCTCAAGTATCTTCCAGAGATGCCAGGAAATATTCAATACTTGGATTTACAACACACAGGTATAAAGGAGTTGCCTGAATCAGTTTGGTCTAACGAAAATATTTTTCACTTGAGTTTAAGGAAATGCAAAGACCTTAAGAAACTTCCAAGCATCAGGTGTAAGTTGAAAAATCTCGATCTCGATGGGTGCTATAAATTTGAAAACTTTCCAGAGATTTTGGAGCCAATGGAACATTTGAAGTCCGTAAGTTTAATTGAAACAGCAGTTACAGAGCTACCCTCATCAATCTGTAACTTGAAATATCTTGAGAGTCTTGTTCTCACCAGGTGCTTTAGATTTTCCAAGTTCCCTGAAATCTTGGAGCCAATGGAACATTTGAAGTCCTTAAGTTTAAGACAAACAGCAGTTACAGAGCTACCTTCATCAATCTGTAAGTTGAAATATCTTGAGAGGCTTGATCTCAGCAATTGCTCTAGATTTTCCAAATTCCCTGAAATCTTGAAGCCAATGGAACATTTGAAGTCCTTAAGTTTAATTGAAACAGCAGTTACAGAGCTACCCTCATCAATCTGTAACTTGAAATATCTTGAGAGTCTTGATCTCACCAATTGCTCTAGCTTTTCCAAATTCCCTGAAATCTTGAAGCCAATGGAACATTTGAAGTCCTTAAGTTTAATTGAAACAGCAGTTACAGAGCTACCCTCATCCATCTGTAACTTGAAATGTCTTGGGAGTCTTGTTCTCACCAGGTGCTTTAGATTTTCCAAATTCCCTGAAATCTTGAAGCCAATGGAACATTTGAAGTCCTTAAGTTTAATTCAAACAGCAGTTACAGAGCTACCCTCATCAATCTGTAACTTGAAATATCTTGAGAGTCTTGATCTCACCAAGTGCTCTAGATTTTCCAAATTCCCTGAAATCTTGAAACCAATGGAACATTTGGAGTATCTTAGTTTGCAAGAGACAGCTGTCGAAATGCTTCCTTCGTCTATTGGAAATCTAAATAGGCTTCAAGATTTAAACCTTAGTCGCTGCCATCAACTTAAGGATGTCCCAACAAGTATCTACAGTTTAACCAATCTTAAACGTCTCAACTTTAATGGCTGTTGCAGACTTGAAAAATTGCCTTCCAGCTCTGTTGGTTTTCTCTCTTTAGAAGAACTAAACCTCAGCTACAGCGGTATATTGGAAATACCAGCAAGCATCAAACAAGCTTCTCGGTTGTCTATACTCAACTTAAACTACTGCAAGCGGCTTCAATCTATACCAGGGCTCCCAGTGCTATGTATTGTTATAGCTAAAGGCTGCACATCGTTGAAGTTAGTGTCAAGTTCAAGGACAACACTCACACAAGGTGATTACGAAAAACTTTTTAAGGCAAATTTGTACTTTGATAGCTCACTTGTCTGACCAAGAAATAAGACAACAACTAGGCAAGGCTTTTATTATTTTGGTATTGTTTATGCTTTATACATTATAAAGCGCTAGTTATGGACAAGTGTATAATAGCCTATTTGTTATCTTTAAAACTTGATTTACCTTTATATCATAAACATAGACATTAATTAACACACCATGCCAGGGCAAAGTAAAAATCTCACAACCAAGCGCGATAGTTTGAACATTCAACACCACAAAAGTATGCGATTGTTCATCGAATTTGTAACAACGATAATAACTATAAGGCTCTTTGCTTCAATAGGACTAGGAACATTCCAAAATTAAGGAAAAAAATTATACGTTGTGCTACAAGCTAAAGGAAGAAAAGAATGAAGAAAAAGCGAGATGCATACACAAAGAAATGAAATACAAAAGATACATTACAAGTTCGATGGCTGAACTGCATTTTGACCTGGAAATATTCAATTTTCTCTCTAGCATCCAAGATTTCTTTCCCCAAGTATCTGGGATATTTGTTATGATTTGACACTTATCAGGAAGTAACATGCACACATAACTTTGCTGCTCAAGATGAGAAAACTGGGGAAACATTGAAGTTCTAAGTACCTTTTTATCAGCTTCAGTTGCTTCTTTGAACTTTGAGTTCAGTGAGTTAACCTCCTCTGTATTCAGTTGATCTACAAGATGTTTCTCCAATTCTGGTACTCCGGGTTTCTGCTAATTGGCCTGCTGCTTTTCCTCAGCATGAGAAGGAGCAACTGTCTTCGGTGGTCTTCCTCCAGCTGGGGGTGCCATGTGCCAAGCACCAAGACCAGGCATCAGTTGCTGTTGTTGAAAGCCTTTTAAAGTGAAAAATAAGAAACTATTCTCCATCAAAGAAAGACATGTTTCAAAATATAAAAGTGATTTGTTTTATGGATGAATACGAGAAGCAGGTCTCCAGACTACATTGCCAGCATTGGAGTAATTATTTGCAGGTTGAAAAATATTGGATAAATCATACATAACATTGCTTGGTAGCACAGCTGGAAGAGGGCTTCCCCCTCTAAACCGCTCCATCAAACATAAATTAATGACCTGATAACATAACTCTCTCAACCTCACTAACTGTAGTATAAATTCTTCAACTACTTATTTTCTACCATCTGAACATCAATTCCGCAGTTATACTAACACAAAATAAAAATCTCAGCTTAGATAAGAGAATTAAGACATCCCGAACTCACATTTACCACTTCAACTACAATTAGACTACAAATTCAAAATCAATCTGTTTCGGAAATACGCATCGAAGAGATTCGCCGATTGTTTCTGCGTCGACGCCATCGCCACCATCGGATTGCGATTCGGGGAAGATCAGACTATGGAATCAATCGAGAGCGCCGCGCGCTCAGGCTGCAGTACGCGTAAGGAGCGCCGGGAAGAATCAGAAAACCATGAATTCGGAGGACCATGATGTGGTTGCCTTTCTTCTCCGATTCGGAGGAAAATCAGAAGACGATGGAGACACTGAGCGATGCCAATAGTTTGGGGGTAGAAAACGATGATTTTTCCTTTTTATTTTTTGTGACAAAAATGGTACTGTATTTGTGTGATATTTCAAAATTGCCACTGGGCCTAATGAGCCCGGCCCATTAGGTATTACCACAACAAATCTCTACTATTTAATAAAACACTAACTGTCAACCAAAATCCTATGCAATTATCAGTTTAAATTTCTATTTAAAACAAAACATGAATAAGAAATATGGGACATAAATGTAATTTCACACAACTAAATTTTGTTTTTTTTCTTCAAAGTCTCACCTATATGTAATCATAACATATCTCTAATTAAAATAAATAAATTATAAAAAAAAAACTTCTCACTCCCACATTCTCTATCACTCTCTTCCTCTCTCCTTCTATTTCAAAAACAAAAACAAAAAAAATTTCTCACATACTTTGTGTGTGCCCATATGCTAGTACAATTTAGAAAGGGGTGTGATATCCACACCCCCCTTTTTACTTCTCACACATCTTTCTAATTTTTGATCGTCAGATCGGATGAAATGAAGAAGATCAACGAACATAAATTAATAAGAATGTGTGAGAAGTAAAAATGAATGTGTGGATAGCACACCCCTTTAGAAATTAGAGTTGGTTAGCAAGTTTATGTTTTTGATTTGTCAACTTGTACAAAGTGGGGAAACAAAAACGTGCACATAAAGGTGCAAATTAATGCGAGATTGAGAAGGAAGCTACAATTTAGAAATCAGAGTTATTTGTTTGTCGGATATTTGACATGTTATATTTTCAAACTGTAAATCGCATATGTACATTTAAGCATCGTTCTGTAAATCTTTCTAAAAAGGAAACCTAATTGATAATCTATACACTCCCATATAGATTAACTATTCTTATTATGGCCAACAAGCAACTCTTGTCCATGACGATGTTGTGTTCATGTTTCGTCGGTTTCACGTCCTCTTTTTCTTTAAGGAGACGATCAATGATTAGCGTTCTAAAATATGATTATAAACCCCTTAAATAACTTCATTAGTTGGTACAATTAAGGCATTTTGATTGATCCCTTTTGCGATCACCTCATTTTCGCTATTTAATTAGTCCCTGAAACTTCTTGAATTACATGATGTGCATGGAAAGGTCTTTTAAATAAAACATTGGGGATCTTTGAAGTAGTACCATGTTTCGAATCAAAATCAAAGAACCGGCCTAATAATTGATGTAATTAGTAAACATTGACACATAATGTAACACATTCTTAATTGGAGCTACAACCTTGTCTAGTTTCCATTTTTTGTAATTGTATATGTTAGTTTGGGGTATGGCCACTCTAGATTGAAGTGTGCAACTTCGTTGTGGGAGTTCTGGACTTTCTTTGGACCTTTCGATAGCCTCGGAAATAGAAGTGACTAACTAACCCATTGAATATTTATTAATGGATAACTATTAACATCCGTTTAGTTTGATTTCACTATAATATAGTAGTAAAATTGATAGTTGTTATGATTGTGTATATCTTGTATCAAATTAAATAGGCTGAAACTCTATAATTCAATGAATTGATTTGTCACTTGTGCTCGGAAAGACATAGTCCAAATCTTGTTCAATCTCAATTGGTGAACAATTATATTCTTAACTCTATGATTTGTAGTGTGAAATTCACTTATTTTCTTTTGAAAATTATAAAAATGTCCTCAATCAAAGTTGCTTGGAAATTTCTTAAAAATTTCTTGAAAGAAACTGGTTATTGACTAACTGAAAAACTTTACAACCGTGTTTACCAAAAGAAAAAAAAAAACTTTACAACCCCGTGTTTACCAAAAAAACCTTTACAAACTAACTGAAAAACTTTACAACATGTGCCTCTTTTTGTACTTCTATAACTATTCATCTCTCACTCATTGATATTCCTGAAGGAGCCTTTGGAACTTTAGTCAAAAGCCAATTCGAGTAAATTCTGATCTAGTCTCTCTCTCTCTCTCTCTCTCGTAAATTCTGATCTAGTCTCCCTCCCTCCCTCCCTCCCTCCCTCTCTCTCTCTCTCTCTCTTTTGTTTCATCAGGTCCTCCTTAATTCTGAACAACTCTCTCTCTCTCTCGCTTTATTGGATCCTCCTTAATTCTGAACCTCTCTCTTTCTAATTCACAATTAATCTCTCTGCAACTACTACTTCCTAGATCTGAAAACTAGAAGTTATGGATATGGCTTCTTCTTCTTCATCCGCTGCTGCTCTTGCAGATGCTGATGATACAAAAAAACTAATTGTTTTGGATATTATTTTGAAGGTGGAGAAAACAAACAAGCCCTTGGCAAATTGGTAACTTGTCAGAGGTTAATCAGTGTTTATCGATTGATACTGTTTAAAGCTCTTTTCTGCTTTTTTTGTCATTTCTTTTGAAGGTAATGGATATTGCTGCTGCTGCTTCTTTATGGACATGTAGTCATTGTACATGTATTTTGTAACATATTTATGAAACTGTGAAAGCAAAATACAATTATTTGGACAATATTTGTTTACTCCCTAGTGAGTACTCATCTCTTAGTTTTGTCCAATAATAAATTAACACATGTTTTATTCTTTTAATATGGAGTTTTAATGAAAAATCCGCGATATTGTTCACTTTAATGGACATTTTTACACTAAAAAGTCAAATTTCACTTTATCCTTTATTTTGTCTTTATCGTTAAAACTCAAAGTTTTCAAGCTATTTTCATTAGTTTCTCTTTTATAATATAATGTATATGTCATTATTTTTTCTGGGGCTTTTAAAACGAAGAACACATGTCTATTGGGTAGGCCTGGCATTTTCAACCTAACCTGTTAACCCGACACAATCCAACCTGTTAAAATTAATATTCGGGTGGGTGATAAACGGGTCGGGTGGTTAACTGGTCAACCCGTTAATCACCCGTTAAATAACGGGTCAGTTTGGGTGAACCCACGAAACCTATTAACCACCCGTTAACACCCGTTAGTAAGGACTTTTGTGTAATTTCAATAGTTTCCAAAACCCTCATGTTCCTATCTCTCTCGCTAGTTGCTAGTCGCTGCCTCGCACCGTGTGTTGAGACTGAAACTGAAAGATCGTTGTGCTGTGTCCTGGCTCCGGTTATCTCCCTCATCTTCTTCCCTCAAAAATTTTACTGAACTCCACCACTCTCTCTCTGGTAAGCTCCGATTCCCTTCCACCTCTTCTTTCATTTCGATTATTTTTCGTTTCTGCAGATTAGATTCATCTATTTTTTCTCAGATTTTACTTGAGCTTGATTTTAGGTGGTCTCTGCAGATTAGATTCGACCCTTTTCGGGTTTTTTTTTTTTTGTTGTGTTTTGCAGTCCATGATCATCGCTTTCATTTGCTTTGGACTTAATCACTTGATCCAATGGCTTCAGGCTCATCTCTTCATCCACCAACCAATGGCTTCAGGCTCATCTCTTCATCCACCACCTTTGGAATTGTCATCTTGGTTCCAGAAAGATAAATTTTACAATGAGGTTGAGAAAAAGAGACCATCAGGGATTTTCCAATATACCGCTGTAGCTGATGAGATTTAGTAGTACAAAAGAGAGAGAACCGGCAGAGCTAGAAGACAATTTTTCAAGTTTCCAACAAGCATAAAAGTTGAGACTTTTATGATTGGTTAAACTGTAGATACTTGTTGGGACATCGTTAAGGTGCTTGCGGCCACAAAGGTTTAAAGTTTTAAGCCTAATTAGATTTTTAATAGACGAAGGAAGAATTTCGACAGTTATCCCTTGCAAAGTAAGAGACACCAAATGTTTCATTGGCTTCAAGATTTTAGGGATTTTGGACAATCTAGAACAAAAATTGTTTGTATACTGTGAGAACAGAGAGATACTCGAGTGGTGTGGGTAGTGTAAAACTTGTTTGAATGACAATGAGATTACAACTGGACTACTTGGGTGGCATCAAACTAGTTATACTAGTTATGTGAAACACAAGGAGTCTGAGAGCTTTAGTATGACAAGAATTGTGGAGTTTTATACGTTGCAGCTGTTAACATTGAACCTGAGAAAGAAAAAGAGTGTTATTTTTGCAAAGAAACAGGTCACTTAAGAAAGAACTGCAATGGCTTCAAGAATTGGCTTGTTAAGAAAGGTAACGAAATAAATATTTTTGTGTGTGTTGAGTCTAATTTAGTTTACATTCCTCCTCAAAGTTGGTGGTTTGACACAGACTGCTTTATTCACATAACTAATTCTTTGCAGGACTTCTAAAAAACAAGGGTGATAAACAATGAAGTCTACAATGTTTATGTAGGGAATGGCAGCAAAGTTGCTGTCGAATCCATAGGAAGTGTTCTTTCCTCTAACTTTATTTTAGATTTGAGTCCAGTACTCTATGTACCTTCCATGAGAAGGAATCTAATTTCTGCATCTAAGTTAGTTAAGTCCGGCTTTACATTTGTGGGTGACAGTCGAAGTGTAAAGTTTTTCCATTCCAATGACATGAATAAATTGCTTGGTGAAGCATATCTTAAAATTGATATGTGGCAAATGAATTGTACTTATGAGATTGAATGTTTTAATGTTCAAAGTGTTGGTTCAAAACAAGTGCTCACTCATGAAAAAATCTTAATGCTTTGGCACAAAAGGTTGGGGCACATCTCTAAAGAAAGAATCATCACACTTACAAAACAAGACTTGTTGCCACAACTTGATTTCAGCAACTTTAAAGAGTGTGTTGATTGTTTTAAAGGAAAACTCACCAATACTAGGAAAATAGGGTCAAACCGTAGCCAATCTCTACTAGAAATTATACACACTGATACTTGCGGACCCTTTCCAATTAAAACCATACGTGGAAAATCATATTTTATAACTTTCATTGATGATTTTTCACGGTTTGCATATGTATTTCTTATTTCTGAAAAATTTGAAGCCTTGCATTGTTTTAAAATATTCCATTTGGAAGTTGAAAAACAACTAGAAAAACACATTAAGATTGTGAGATCCGATAGAGGTGGTGAGTATTTTGGCAGGTTCATTGAGGCTGGACAAAACAAAGGACCGTTTGCAACTTATCTTGAACAAAATGGCATCGTGGCCCAGTATACCACCCCTGGGACTCCACACCAGAATGGAGTTGCTGAACGAAGGAATCGAACCCTGAAAGACATGATCAGATCCATGTTTGCACATTCAAAGCTTCCGATGTTTCTTTGGGGTGAAGCACTGAAAACTGCAAACTATATATTGAACCGTGTACGAAGCAAGTCCGTAGACATGGTTCCATTTGAAGCTTGGACTGGAAGGAAACCGAGCTTTCATCACTTTCGTGTATGGGGTTGTAATGCTGAGGCCAGATTCTATAATCCAACAGAGAAAAAACTCGATCCAAGGACCACCAGTTGCAAGTTCATTGGGTATTCTGAGAAGTCTAAAGGGTATAAGTTCTATTGCCCTAACAGTCACTCGAGGGTTATGGAAACCCATAATGCAAGATTTCTTGAAGATGAGGATGAAACTGACATCAGAATATCAGCAGCTACATCCTCAGAATTCAAAGAAATTACACTTGATAATGACGTTATTGATCAGCATGCACCTACTCTTATCATTCCCATGGACATGCAGCCACACCCTTTTCATGACAGTTCACATACGGTTCATGAAAATGATACAACAAATGAGGAGTATGCACCCCATGCAGACGTCCAGGAACATGAAGTACATGCACCGGTACAATCAACTGAAGAAGACCTTATGAATGATCCAGCAATTGCAGTTTTCGAATCAACTATTCGAAAATCACAGCGAGTACGTAAGCCAGCATTGTTGCCTGATTTCGTATACCTAAATGAGGCAGAACATACTATAGGTGATGAAGATGATCCCTTGTCCTACAATCAAGCCATAACAGGTTCAAGATCCACACTATGGAAACAAGCCATGCATGAAGAACCGGAGTCCATGGAGAAAAACCGTGTGTGGAGCTTAGTTCCAAAGCCAACTGGAACAACAAAAATTATTGGTTGTAAATGGGTGTTCAAGACAAAACGAGACTCACAAGGCAACATTGACAAACACAAAGCAAGGTTAGTGGCGAAGGGCTTTACACAAAGGGAAGGCATTGATTATAATGAGACATTTTCTCCAGTCTCAACAAAAGATTCCATGAGAATAATCCTAGCTCTCACAGCACATTTTGATTTAGAACTTCATCAAATGGACGTCAAGACGGCATTTCTAAATGGAGATCTTGAAGAAGATATTTACATGCAACAAGCACCTGGATTTGTTGAAAGGGGGAAGGAAACGATGGTTTGTAAACTGAATAAGTCTATATACGGCTTAAAACAAGCCTCGAGGCAATGGAATAGGAAATTTGATCAGGTAATGGCAACTTCTGGTTTCCAAGAGAACAAATTGGATGAGTGTATTTATCTGAAAGTCCTTGGTGCGAAGGTCATATTCTTAGTATTGTATGTAGACGATATATTATTAGCTAGCTCCGATATGTCTCTACTACAGGCAACTAAGAGTATGCTCACACAAAACTTTGACATGAAGGACTTGGGGGAAGCTCGATTTGTTTTGGGAATAGAAATTGTAAGAGATCGTGCTACGAAGTCTCTTGGTCTTTCTTAAAGGCAGTATATCGATAGAGTTGCTAAAGATTCAATATGGACAAATGTTCGAATGGAGAATTGCCTATCGGCAAAGGAGACAAACTGAGCAGTGTTCAATGTCCCAAAAATGAATTAGAGAAGGAGGGAATGAAAGACAAGCCCTATGCATCTCTTGTAGGGAGTCTCATGTATGCCCATGTATGTACAAGACCGGATTTGGCTTTTGCAATGAGTGTGCTTGGTAAGTTTCAATCAAATCCTGGTGCATGTCATTGGGTTGCAGCGAAAAAGGTACTGAGGTATCTCAAAAGAACAAGAGATTTTATGTTAACTTACAGTCATGTGAACAAGCTGGAATTGGTGAGGTTCACGGATTCGGACTTGGCAGGGTGCGTAGACAACAGAAAGTCAACTAATGCATATATCTTTCTGTTGGCTAATGGTGCAGTATCGTGGAAGAGTGCAAAACAGAAAGGTATTGCATCTTCAACTATGGAAGTTGAATTTATAGGGTGCTAAGCAGCAACTTAACAAGCCGTTTGGCTTAAAAACATGATGAAAAGATTGGAAATCGTTGATAGTGTTGAAAAGCCTCTCAAGTTGTATTGTGACAACAAAGCTGTAGTTTTCTTTTCGAAGAATAACAAGAGGTCTTATGCCAGTAGATTGATGGACATCAAATACTTAAAAGTACGAGATGAAGTGAAGAAAGGAACTGTCGAAATTGAGTACATCAACATAAGTTTAATGGTTGCTGATCCAATGACAAAGGCTTTACCAGTGGGAGTTTTCAAGAAACATGTTTTCAACATGGGAGTAAGAGAGGTATTTGATTCAGTTAATGAGTGGGAGTAAGCACTCCATAAACTGTGTTGAGTTTGTTTCAGTTATTTTGTTTATTGATTGACAGTTGTTGGTTAGCTTGCAAATTTGTTATCTTTATTAATTTGCTTAAATTGGCTGATCATGTTTCTACAAACAACTTTGGTACTGGAATTATTTCAGTTTGTTATGGGGAACTGACATTCTGAATTGTCAGTTTTTGACATCATGACTCTCAAGAGTGACATAGTGTTTTTAAGTTAAATATGTATGTGATCACAGAGTGCAAAGGGCAAGCTATTCGTGCTTTGTTTTCTGTGGTCCTATATTTTTCTTAAAAATGACAAGTTACTAAGAAGGATCAGTTGCAAGCTTTTGTGAACTCTATGATCATCATGATTCTTGTAATATTAAGGCATATCATTGACATTCAAGTGGGAGAATGTAAAACTTGTTTGAATGACAATGAGATTACAACTGGACTACTTGGGTGGCGTCTAACTAGTTATACTAGTTATGCGAAACACAAGGAGTCTGAGAGCTTTAGTATGACAAGAATTGTGGAGTTTTATACGTTGCAACTGTTCTATTTTGATCCTTATCAAATATATACTAGTATATAGAGTCATGATAGGACTAAAACTTATTAAGAGATAGAGATTATCACTCTTTCTGATAATAGGCTGGACCGAGTGAATCTCTAGCTAAATGGATGGATATATATAGTTGAAGTCCCTGCTTCCTCATGTACGCTCTTGATATTATCTAAAACCCTATTCACTTAGAAGAGAGACTTTTGAGTGTTGGAAGTAGAAGACTTCTTCTTCTGTTGTTTCTTCAATGGCGATGCCTCCAGGTAAGTATCTTGCAGATTATAAACTGGTATTTCTCTAGTTATGATGAATCTAATATTAGTTGGTAATCCTAGGGTTGTGTTGGTTTGCTATGTTGCAGTAGCTTATTTATTCATATACTGCTTACAGGTAGCTCTTCAACCCCTGTTCCACTTTAAATCTAAGGACTCCAAATGTTCCATTTGCTTCAAGATCTCTGAGAAGTGTTGAAGTTCATAGCACCAAGAGAGATCGAGCACCTTGAGATACTTCAACTTACAAATGCTCTTTGGGATACTTGAAAGCCTTTTGCAATCACATAGTTCAAGTCTTTCGAAAGTAGGGAGAAACTCGATTGATGAGTGTAGCTCTTGAACTGCTGTTCTACTTAAATTTAAGGACTTCAAATTTTCCATTGGCTCCAAGATCTCTGGGAGGTTTTCAAGTTTAAAGCAACTGTAGAGATTGAGTTCCTTGAGATATTTCAACTTACAAATGCTCATTGGGATACTTGAAAGCCTTTTGCAATAGCGTAGTTCAAGTCTATTAAGAGCAGGGAGAAACTCTATTGATGAGTGTAGCTCTTAAACTGCTGTTCCACTTAAATTTAAGAACTTCAAATGTTCCATTGGCTCCACTATCTTTGGGAAGTTTTCAAGTTCGGAGCACGAAGAGAGATCGAGTACCTTGAGATACTTCAACTTGCAAATGCTCTTTGGGATATATGAAAGTTTGTCGCAAGCTTGTAGTTCAAGTCTTTCGAGAGCAGGGAGAAACTCGAT